TACTTATAAGTTAGTTTTGTCTTATTTCAAATATTTGCCATAAAAACTAGACCAAAAATGCTTTGTGAGATGTTGTATTTTTGCAGTGTAGAGCAGTAAAACCAGCTGACCAATTGTGCTGAAGCTCCAGTTTGGTTGCTAGGTAATGGCGAAGCATGACCTACCAATCAGGAGGTTTGTGAAACCGCTCATTTTCCAGTCACCAAAAAGCCATTAGCTAATTGGGTGATTTTATTAAAACACTTAACTGCTTCTAAAAAACATTCTAGGACCCAAATGGAAGAATAAAAACATCCAAAATGTGAATTTTACATAAAAGATCCCATTTAAAGCATCGAGTTTGACAAAAATAAATCAGAAGCAATCTACGAGGAGTCAAAGCATTGCACGTCTCCCTCTCTCTGCACTCTTCCTCTGGAGGAAATGTCTGCCTAACTGCTGGCTCAGATGGATCGAGGGGAATTGGCAAAGTGCTATGTACCTCAGAAGTGCTAATAAGGGCCATAGAGGAGAAAGAGGGAGGAAAAAAGACCCAACCGAACTTAGAGGCTGCACACTGAAAGCCAGTAAAATCACTTCAAAGAAAGCGAGGCACTAGATTGCCATGTGCCCTTGAGCTGAGAATCAGACTCCGACTTCTCCCCACCCCGAGGAAGCTCATTGATTTCTGTATAATCACTATAAAACACCCAGTGGCTTAGAGTTAATTCCTCTATCTGCTGTGGCACCTTGAAGCACAAATATCCAGGATGCAGCAGAAATACAGTGGCGACGACTTGAAGCATCAATAGTGAGAGGGAGGAAGCAGATTTTTGAAGAGTTGTTATTTCTGCTTCCAAAAAAATCACTGACTAAGCAAAGAAAACGCAGATATGTCCCCTCCCAAAAATATGCAGTAGGTGGGTTTTTAATTCGTGGCGAAGCTGGAAAATGTTTCATTCAGAAAACTCAAATCTGCGGAAATCAGTTCCTGGGAGGCGCTTACTCACGTTGTCCTCTCTGAGCTTGTTGATGGTGATCTTTGCCTCCATGAGGTGATTGTTGAGAACAATGATTTCCCGGCTGAGCGCTCGCTTTTCCTCCTCGTGGTGCTGAGACTGCAGCGCCAGAGAAAGGACGGACGGAGCACAGCAGAGGAGAAATCAGAGACAAAAGCAGAAAAAACAGGAATGAGTCAGTAGATTGTAGATGAAAGTTTGAGAGATTTAAAGGAAAGAGTTGAGATAATGAAAACAATGACGGCGAAGTCGATAAAAATGATAAGAGGGCAAGAAAAGAAAGTATAACATCAGACTGAGAGTGACGATTTCAGCACGTCTTAATGAAAAGAAGATTACACTTAGCAGAGGCTACATCATGTCAGAAATGGGAGAGAAAATAACAAAACACTTAATGCAGGAGACGCAGAGCGAAAAGAAATATATTTATTAAAGATTCAAAACTGGGAAGCGATTTTTACAACTGTGTTTTAGGGCAAATGTTGACAGAAAAAGAAGTAAGTGCCAAAAAGTTATAAATTTTTTTGAAAATTGTCTTTAAAAAATTCCAACATTTGAAATTCAGAACTTTTCACTTTTTTTGCAAAAAATTTCTGATATTTATCTAAATTATTTTCTGTCAAATTTCCTTGTTTTTTTTGTTTTGTTTTGTTTTTTTTTTTTTTTAAAGAAAATGTCTAAGATTACTCTCAAACTTTCTGAAATTTTTGGCAGAAATTTCCTACTTTTTATGATTTGCACGTTTCATAAAGAAAGAGAGTTTTCATTTTCTTTTGGGTTCAGTTGAATAAATTTATTTTCAGTAAAATGAACAGGATTTGGGTCACTTTCTTTCAAAACGCTTCCTATGTTTAGCTAACTTTAATAAAGAATAAAAGCTGATTTTACTGAAAATCAAAGTTGTTTTTTCAGTAAACGTTTCTTGGTTATAAAATCTCAAATAGTTTTTGTTGTACTTTACATTTTCCTTTGTAAAAAAAAATTATGCTGGTAATAATTTTTACCCTAATTACAAATTAAAAGTCTAAATTTGTATAATTTTTGAATTGCTGTTGGGGACCACACAAAATCAGCCAAAGGGCCACAAATGGCCCTCGGGCCGCACTTTGGACAACCCTGGAGTAGATTATAGGTGAAAGATGCACAGAGTTAAAGGAAAGAGTTGAGATAATGTAAACAATGACACCAAATCATGTAAAAGACGATAAGACGGCAAGAAAAACGAGAAGAAGAAAGAGTTTGAAAGTGACGTTTCCAGCACGACTTAATTAAAAGAAGATTACATTTGGCAGAGCTCAAATCGCATCAATGACTCTGGGAGAACAAGAACAAGACGCAGAGGGAGGAGGCGTAAATAAAACCAGGAAGAGAAAATGACAAATGAAACGCTCACTGGGTTTTCAGCCATTACTGTTGAGTTTTACTAACAGCAGAGATTAACGGCAGCAATCTAAAAAAAACTGATCATTACAATTATTTTGCATCTGAAACTCATTGAAACACTGAAATAAAGCGTTTTTTCTTTCTAAAGTTTTAACTTTTTGGTACATTTTATTATAAAAAATTATTATTTACATACTAACAGCCAGTTAAGTTTTCAGTTCAGTTGGATTAAGTGTTTCATAATTTGCTACAAATAAACTACAAGACGAAACTAACTTAAAAGTAACTTTTTAGTAAGATATAGGAGTTTGTTTCAAGTAAAAAAATAATTTAAAAAATGAATTAAAATTGAGGAAAAAGTTCTAGTTATAAGTGAAATAATCTGCCAGTTTTTTCCTAATTTATAAATGCAAGTCATTTATAAGTTAAAATATATTACAGATTATTTCACTTATAACTAGAACTTTTTCCTCAATTTTAATTATTTTTTTAAATTAATTTAAGAAAAAAAAATACTTTTTAAAAAATTAATAAAAAAAATTACTCATTACTGCGCTGTACTTTTTACTTTTACTTGAGTAATTTTATTATGAAGTATTTCTACTCTTACATGAGTAGAAATATGTTGACAGAGTGCCACTTTTGTAAAAAAAAAAAAAGTTCTACCCTCCTTTAGTGTTGTTTGTAGCTGTAAACAACTTGTTAGCATCCAGTAGCTTATTTAGTATCAAGTCATGAAACGTTAGCATTAGCATTAGCGTGCTCCACCTGCTGAAGGTTCAATATTTACTCTGCTTTTACCTCTGTTTAGTCGACGCCTGCTGCTGAGGGAAATGTCTGTTTAGCTGCTAATTGTGGCGGTTTGCTGCCAACCATTTCTTTGTGCAGCACCACTGCTCCTCACAGCTTCATCCGTTTTATTGAGCTAAACTGTGATTCAGAGGATTTGGACGGATTAAACCAGAGGTGTCCACAGAGTGGCCAACTGCAACTCAGAAATTAAACAAATTTTGGCCCAATTAGATGCAGATGGAGACTTTTAATTTATAATCAGAGTAAAAATTCTGTAATTTTTTTACACAGGAAAAAGTAAAGTACAACAATAAGTATTTGTGTTTTTATAACCAAGTTTTATGTTTTTATAACCAATGAAGAGACGTTTACTGAAAAGCCGACTCTGCAGCTCCCAAATCAGATTTTATTCTTTGTTAAACTTGACTATACATAGAGAACATTTTGAAACAAAATGACCCAAATCCTGTTCTTATAACTGAAAATAAATTTATTCAGTCGAGCCCAAAAGAAACTGAAAACTGGACGTCTGTTTCAATGCAGCAAACATGAAAACTTAAAGTAGTAACAAGTAGTAAATATCTTCCAAGAAAAAAAACAAACTTTGAGAGTATTCTCAGAAATGTTCTTGAAAAAATAAGGAAACATGGTAGAAAAACAAATAAATTTTTAGATTATCAGACATTTTCTACAAAAAACATGAACATCTCTGAAATTCAAATGTTTTTTTGTAAAATTTCCAAGTTTTCTAGAAAATTTATGAGATTAATCACAAAATTCAGTAATAGTAAATTACTTCCAAAAACCAGAAATTTTTCAGAGAAATCTCAGACATTTTCTATAAAAAAACAAGGAAATTTTGCCAAAAAAAAATCAAAATTTTAGTCTAATAGAAATTTAGTAAACAATTTTGAATTTCAAATGTCGAAATTTTATTTTCAAATTTTTTTCTAGACAATTTCTTAGATTAATCACAGAGTTTCTGATTTATTGGTGGAAATTTAGTCTTTTATTTAATCTACAAAGGCTCTAATACGCCGTCGTAAAAAATCCCTTCAAAATTCTGGATCTACAATAAATATCAGACAATTTTATTTGCTTGATTTTAGTTTTTTCCTGTTTTTTCATTAATACTAAGGAATTATTGACCTAAAACAAGCTCCCATCATCTTAAAAAGTTAGCTTTGTCTTATTTGAAATGTACTAATACATTTGCACTGGATTCTAGATGAAAATACTTGGTAATATTTGTATTTTTTGCAGTGTGTCCCCTGGATGAGTGAGAATCTTCATAAATGGTTCTTTGTTTTCTTTGACATTTCATTAGATGGCTCTTACCTGCATAATCCCTCTAAATCCTTCAAAATTCTGCATCCTAACTTATTCTCTCTTCTCTTCCAATCACTGCAAAGGTGATTTGAAGAGAGACAGAAATAATCCCAGCGGCTGAAGGTCAAACTTGAAGGTCAGACAAGCGCAGGTTATTATTACATCAGTGTGGGACGCCTACTTAACGATGGATCCTGTCTTGATTTAATAAATTCAATCAAATTAGGATTTATGATTAGATGTATTTTTTGTGGAGCAAATCTGTGCTGGCACATGTAGGGATCCAGCTTCCCTGTATGGAATGCCTGAAATGCCAAAAAAGTTCATGTTAGAAATAAACAAAAAACAAATTACTGCGAAGGTTTTCTATTGGATGTCGGTCTGGGGACTGAGATTTCTATGGAAGATGGTTGGTTTTATGTTTGGTGAGCCATTTGTTTGTTGGTTTGGTTATTTTTTTTTTAGATCATTATCCTGCAAAAGCCCCAAACAATGACTCATTTTTAGTTTTCTGGTGGATTTTTGTTTTTAAATCTTTGGAAAATAAAACAATGCTACAAAAAAACATATGCTTCACCACAGTTAGTAGAGGGTTAATAGGGGAGCCATGTTGAGATGACTTCCTGAAGGCAGAGTTTCAGAAAGAGCAAGAGTTTCTTAAACAGACAGACGCATAATTAGAAAGTCATATTTAAAGGTAAAATAGTTACTTAAATGTGCAACAAAATGGAATTATGTGCCTGAAAAATACATGATACTCCACCGTTAAGTATATATTTGAATGTATCGTGTTGAAAAAGTGACAATCCTACTGTGCATAATGACAGAGAAACAGCATGCTGACTCCAGGGAGGAACAAAGGACAATCTTAGCAGGCTTAAAATTATGAATATTATCTTGTAGTGTATTGTGTGATGGGTGAGGGTTTGTTTAAATATCTCTTCCTGCAACATGTAATCACCAAAACATCCTTATCAGTTGGCTTCAAACATGAAAGACGACGCAATCTAGGAAAATGAATATGCAAATCTGAACAAGCAATTGACCCAGTGGGTGAAAAGGGATTTGTTTAGTCAATACATGGCGCTTTAACGAATCAAAGCCTCGCTTCTTTCTTTTGATTGTAACTCCATGCAATTACATTGAAACAGTGGATTAAAATCTTTACATAACCAACTTGAAAACTTTGTTTTAATGGCGGATTGGACAGATTGTTGACATAACAGGACAAAAAAAAAAAAAAGAAGTTTGTTTTCTAAGATACCTTCAATTGTTTCACTTATTCTGCAGCAGATTCTGCCTCCTCACTGGGCAATAAATGAAGCCTGAGTCCCAAGAGGGGCAATTACAGAGCAAGCTGGTTCAGAGAGGAGAGCAGAATTCGCTACTCCATTTTAAACATGCTCTTATTTTAGAGGAAAAAGGAACAAAGCAGATTTCTGACCTTGTTAAAGAGGATTTTCAAATCAAAACACCAACAATACCCTGGAGTGGCCTGGAGAAACCAGATTTGCAAACAGCAGCAAGGAGAACAAAAGCTCGAGTCAACGGACAAGATGGAGGAGGAAGGAGAAAAACGTGTAATATAGAACACATTTATGTAGCATCGGATTTTACTGAAAAAACTTGGCATTTAGACT